TCCAATTCTTTACTTAATATGCATCAAATTGCTACAATATTTTTTTATTAAAAAATCCTTAAAAATAGCAATTCGAACAAACTCTGTTAATTAACGTAAATGAATAGTCATACACCGTTCATGTTTTGACTAGGAAATTGTTTCGAGGAAATTAGTCAAATTAATTACTAGACTACCACGATTATTGTCACTTCCACTCATCACACTCCCTAGAAATTCGCTCCAGCTGTCAATCCGGGGAACCTTAGGCTTTCTTTGGAAAGCAATTTTTCAAAAAAAGAAAAAAAAAATTGTTGTGTTTTTCATGATCACATTTTTCAATTAATTTTTTACTATTTCACATGTATTGAATCGTTATAGTAATTTTTCTATAAAAAAAATCTATAAAAATACAATCCAAACAAAGCTGGTACCAATAGTAGTTAATGATGGTCAGCTAAGACGAATACAAGCTGATTGTTACCACGAAATATGGCTCTGACGAGGGTCAGCCCTCTTCAAACATATCCGACAAATTGAATCTTTAGCGTTAAAGAAGCAACAAATTTGGTGATAAATTCAAAAACATGGTATCCTTTCACTTTTTGCTTGCATTGTCCTATTTTTGTCTCGTTCTTCTTTATCGCCGGTAAATTTATCTTATCAGCACCTTTTTTGTGGTTAAAAATTGGAGGAAAAATGATTAGAAATTGATTACCGTAATCCCCCCAGATATTACTGTTGCGGTGAGTCTGAGTCATGGAATGGCAAGGAATAATTAATGTTGAGTAGGTCTGGTACAAGACAAGAAGAATAAATAAACAAATGTCATGAGAATTCATCATGTCAGTCCCAAAAAAAGAAAAAAAAGAAAGAACACTTGGGAAATGTTTACATCGAGATTGGTCAGGCGGCTGAGAGGCCCCAGACCAATCATAACTTTGGACTGCCACTCAATGGCCATTGGCTGGTAAATACTGGCAATTAATTTTTCCACTTGGAAACCATGAAATGGAGGCCACAATACGGAGACACCAATGGCAATTGAGGTGTGTAGGTGTCACTACTTTTAGCAGTAAAAATCATTGATCGAAAGAGCCTTCAATTGGGGAGGGTAAGTTCATGGCATCAAAAAGCGAGGATTGGTAGATGATGGGAGGATAAGAAGCATTTTCTTCCAAATGGAATCATATTGTTTGCCACATTGGTAGACTATCCCAAAACTCAAAAGGTCCCTCTCATTATTCCTCACAATCATACATGGTACTGCCATAAACCACCTTCGTACCCACCTCCATTTAACATTCTTCAATTTTTCACGACTACTAATTTTCAAATTTCATCCGTTACAATTTGTGTATAGTTTGGTAGTTTTTGCTTTTATAAATAAACATGGTTACAAAGTATGTCTAAGAAATTAAAGGTCCATGTGATAATATTATAATTTGTCACACAGCAAGTAATCAAGGAAAAGATTGAGTCAGTGGAACTTGTACTGGTAGACATTTTAGAACCTTTTCCAAAAGTTGAGAATATCAGTATATAGATTGCTGCAAAAAAAAAAAAAAAAAATTTTATCCCTTGGAATAAAAGGAAAAAACATCTGTATGGGAAAATAAAATTTTCTGGTCAAGCCCAAGAATTCATACTTTGCTTTTCCAATGTAGCATTGAACATCAAGATTTGGCATCAACAATCTCATGTTATAATGTCTATCTATGAAAATTTTAGAGACTTGTCTGCCTACTTTTAGACACAACAAAAGAGAAGGGGAAACAAATAGTGGACAAAACTCTTTTTTTTTTTTTTTAATAAGAGGGAAGGGATGTGATTTAAAAAGTAAGAAAAAAAATTTGAATTCAAGATTTCTACTTTTTGATATTTTAATCTTAACCACTCAGAGAATGAATGGAACTTGATTATTGATACCCAAATATATTTTTCCTCTTAGATGTCTAATGCATAGCCTGTTTAGACTCATGTATACACCACAGAATAAAATTTAAAAAAGTAACAGCAAAGAATATAATTAAGGGATAATTTCAAAAACCTCTCTGGAAGTTTTCGACAGTTTCACTTGGCACTCTCAAACTTTAAAAAATCTTACTTACCTTAAACTTTTTGTATCATTTATAATCCACTTTAAAATATAATATTAAAAAATACATTTTGAGAGAGTAAATATGATATCATTCCAAATTTGCCCTTTTGTTGTTTTATTTTTTATTACAAATAATGTGAGTACATTAATAACAAATGAAAAATAAAAATAAAAAGTATGAAGATTTATTTTGATTGGACAAAATATAGCATATTTGTATTGTTTTGAAGCTAGTGCAATGAGGTATTATTATGGTTGTAAATTATTGCAAGTTATTCTTAAGAGTATTGTAAATCATTCATAATTTTGAGCAACTTAATATTTCGTGTCCAAAGTAATGATGCAAAAACTATTAAAGAGTTTTTTCATCTTGTTATTAACTTTTTAATTTTTGTTAAAAAATAATATCGAACAATTTACAAAAAAAAAAATAAAGAGTTAAATTTTGTATGTTATGACAATTAAGAAATCCCAAGAGAAGGGGCAATTTGGGATGAAATTGTATTCTTTATCCCAAAATGAAATTTTTAATATTATATTTTGAAATGGGTTTTAAATGTTACAAAAAGTTTAAAGTAGGAAAGGCAAGTGGGATGTTTTTAAAATTTGAGGGTATCAAGTGAAACTGTTAAAAAACTCAGGGGAGTTTTCTGAAATTATTCCTATGATTAATGCAGATCTATACATTTTGGGGATAATTTCAGAAACCTCCCCTGAGGTTTCTGACAGTCTCAAGGACCTCCCCTGAAGTTCCGAAAATCCCTTATACCTCCCCTAAAACTAAGTAGATAGTTTCAGGTCCAACCCAATTGAGGTGGACAATGAATATAAAATGTGTTTCAGGAGAGAGAAAATAATCAAATTCCACCTCTGCCCTCAAGATTGTCATTAGTGAGGATGTTTATGTTAGGGGCTGCTTGGTTAAAGGGTTTGGGAATCACAAAATGGAATAAATCCCTTATTTGTTGCTTGGGTTAAGCCTATTGGAATGCTATTTTTGGAATCATTCCCGAGTAAATTGGGAGGTTTTGGACAAAACCCTCAACTCATTCCCTCAGACAATATTTATCAAACCAGAGTCTTCTTCTTCATCAGTTTTTCTATCTCTTCTTCTTCAATCAATCGCCACCCATCACCTTCATCGGACATCTTCTTTCTCATTTCAAAGTCCCAAATTCAGGTTCACAAATAGTAGCAATAGCTTTCCAAGATCTGAAAGTCTAAACGAGAAATTAGATCATGTAGTAGATGATTTTCTTGAAAAGGTTGAAGCTTCCAAGGTGGAAATTGGAGAAGAGAAGATTTTATTGATTGGGCAAAACATTCCTTAGAACCAAACAATGTCATGAGTGGTGAAGTTCTGGTGAAATTTTTTGATTGTGTTCTGGTAAATCTGAAGGATCTGCTTAAGTTTGAAAACAATTTGATTCTGTCTTTGAAGGAACAAATCTCAACCCTTGAAGTGAATTTACTATTCTTGAAAAACTTTGTCATCTTCACAAATAGGCTATGCAATGGGTATGCGAATATCGGACTGTTTTTTACTTCTATTGAAGATGCTGCAAATAATGGTATTTCGTTTTGGTGTTGGTTGGGATGGAAGAAATAGGGAGTCAAAAGTTGATAGTAATAGAGACAGCGACATTTTAACCCTTCATTCTAAAGCCATAAAGAGCTGGTGTTTTATGGGAAAATAGGTACTCTGTTCTTATAAAGTAGGAAAGTCATAAAGAGCTGGTCTTTTATGAAAAAATATGACTATTGTGAAAGTGACCGCGATTTGGTTTATGAAATTATCCCAAAAAAATAGTAGAATGAATTTGTTTGTTTTGAAAGTTGTATAACGGTCGTTAAACTTCAAATATTCCTTCCTTAAACTTCAAAATCTACAAAATCTCATATTTTGAACCCATTGAATGCCGAAATTAAAATAAAATAAAATAAATTTATTGAATTAAAATAAAAATTTTTTCGGAAAAATCATGCCAAAATATGGAAGCATCATACGAAACAATGATGGGAAACTGAGGTACATGACCTTGCATTTGTTAAATGCAAGGTACATGATCTCACATTGAAGGAAAATGGGTACTCTGTAAGTATAATGAACGAAAGCCATAAAGAGCTGGTCTTTTATTTAACAATGGGTTTAAATTTATTTTATCCGATAAATAAATTTCTAGAAAATTTTCTAGGCAATTTTCTAGGAATTCGTATTTATCGGATGCAAGATACAGTCCAACCAAAAAGCTTGCTAGTTTGATGCAATTTTTGGCGCCTTTTCTCTTAGCCCAAATTAGCAATTCATTTTATTATCAAATTCCAGTTAAGTTACTTAATCCTTTCTATTACTCATTTCACTAATTAATTCATATTATTATCAGAATATATTACTTCAACAGCAGGGATATTTGTGTCAATTCAACGTTTTTCAAGTCATTTTGGGACCCAACAATCTGACAGGGGAGGTATAAGGGATTTTCGAAACTTCAGGGGAGGTCCTTGAGACTGTCAGAAACCTCAAGGGAGGTTTCTGAAATTATCCCTACATTTTGACATGTTTAGGGGGTATAATGGTCATTTAATATATCTTTAGGCAAGGAAAAAGCAAGGAGGTGCGTACTGCGCATCCTGCGCAGCCTATACAGAGTTTGCGGTGCAAAAAGTCTTGTGCAGCGTATAAAAGGGAAAGCTTCAAACTGAAATCGAATAGCCCGTGGCGAGCCCTCTGTTTCAAGTTTCAACTCCGTTCCTCTTTCTCAATCTTGTTTATCTTCATTTTCAAGCGGCTTTGTTTGGCCCTTGTTTCTTAGTCTACACACTCTAGGTGCTTTAGAAAATCTGGAAATGGCGGTGAATGCTATAGTTAAACGCAGAAGGTACTCTTCCCAAAAAGCCTACTGTTGAAATCCCAATTGCAGGAACGAAAAACAAAAAGACAACAGAGAAGGCCAATGATTGGAGCTCTTTTCTACTCTGAAAAATCAGTTCTTGGTTACTGAGAATCAATTAGATTATCATTTTCAGAAAAAAAAGTTTAGGTCTTTCTTGCACTGCTGCTGCTTTTTGGCTATATGGGATTCAGCTGAGTTCAACGTTTTTTTCTCTTTCCGTGATTGATTTATATTCATGGACAGTTTTGCTGAATTTTTGCTGGATTGCATGTGCCAATTTTCTTGACTGATACTCCTGGTTTGGTTGATTTTTTGTGATATTGAGTGATAAGTGGTGAGTAAATTTGGAGAAAGATTTTAAAGGTTCTTGTGGAAATTTTTGGAGTGGGGCTTGGTTGGTTGGGTAGTGAGGAGATGAGGAAGGGAGATAGTCTGCTCTTACCAACTGTGGGACCGCCAATAAAGCGGCGAGCAGGGTTGAGAAGGAAACAAGCTGGCAGAGGATCTTACAGGGGGAGCTAGGGTTTAGGCAAGGAGAAGTTTGGGTTTTGTGTTCTGGATTTTTGTATTGCTTGGTTCATTTGCGAGAGAGCTTTAGGGTTGGTTCTTGAGAGAGAGAAGGGGGAGGGGGGACGGGCCAGGTGTCTTAGGAATTTTGCTTGAATTGGATAAAGAGATGGGGAGCAAATTGCATCGAGCACTCAGGTGTCTGTGTTCAAATACTGGGTGGAACTATGCTGTTTTCTGGAAGCTCAACCATCGAGCACGAATGTAAGTCTTCTCTAGTGCTTTCGTTGTGCCAAGTGTCCTGTTGAAGGGCAATTTAGTCGTTCTTCATTGTCTTGATGATTTAGCTGAAGGAATAGATGCAGTACTTTCATTTAGTAGTTTAGTTAGCTTCGCGGACTCATTGGCATGCAGTCATGGCAAATTGTTGAATTTTGTATATCAGCTAGCAGCGTAGCACGCAAAAATATTTAATTATTTTGCTTGTGGTTTAGGGTTTTCTAGGCCTTTTGGAAGGTGATCTCATGCTTTCAATCCTAGTGTAGCAGCTGGATTTTTTGGTTTTTGCATTGGTTTAATGAGAATGATGGTCTTCTCCCTGGTTGTGACTTCTAGAGCTATTTTTCTTTTTGGCTATCCTCTTTTCTGGGTTCTTGACTTTTGTTATGACCTTGAGTGTTAACATTTGATTGGAGAGTTTTTTTCCTTGCCTAAAGTTTAGATAATTTTGCAGCTATTGGTAAATTGGTATATAGTCTACCAGCAAAAAAGTTTTTGAAGTACGGGTTTTCTAGTTTTATGAGGGTGTAGAATTCAAAAATTTTTTGGTTATAAGTTATCCAAGTTCTTAACTCTTTTGCTGTCATATTGAATCTTATGCAGGATGCTGACTTGGGAGGATGCCTACTACGATGGTGAAGATTACCCCAGGAAAATGTGTCCAAGTAACTTTGTAGGTAACTTGCAGGATAGGCATTGTTCACATGATCCTCTTCAGATAGCTTTGGCAAAGATGTCTTACCATGTCTATTTCCTGGGGGAAGGGTATGAAATGTGAAAACTTGCCTTATTATTCTCGTCTTTTCTATGGAATTCTTTGGTTTTGCATGTAGAAGATGGCTGTAGTGTGACTTGGTTTGTGAGTTCAGCTTTGATTTTGGGAAAACTGTCCTGAAAATTGTTGCTTGACTTGTTTATATTTTGCTTGCCCAATGTATTTGCAACAATAATCTGTAACAACTTTGAAATCAGAAACTTTGTTTGTTTGGTAATGGTTACGAACTCAACATTTTGAAGTTTCTGTAACTCTTACCTGCCTGCTTCCTCGAATCTGCAAGTAAAAGCAATTCTCATTGGCAGGATTGTAGGGCAGGTTGCTGTTACGGGTAAGCATCTATGGGTTTCTTCTGATCAACATGTAGCCCATCCTAGTTCCCCATATGAGGTGAGGCACATTTGTTTCATCTTTCAATGTACTTTTTTTTTTATATCACTGGATATAAAAATTTATATATTTAATTTGTCTGTCGTTATTCATTCAATATTCCTTTTTGCTTTGGTGGTTACAGCACTGTGATGGATGGCAAACTCAGTTTTCAGCTGGAATCAAGGTAAGCCATACTCACCCTCTGAGTTGATATCTACTTTTTGGATTACCTCGAGACCAAAAAATTGCACGAGGAAACAGAAAAAACTATAGTAAGACAAGCTGACTACAATGTTAGTCGCTGTTTATCCTGGTTTTGTTCAGGTGGTAATGTTGAGTTACTTGACAGCCTTGCTATGATTATGTCTACAGATAATGCCTACATTACTAGCTTTTGACAATTAGTGAGTTTAATAGCAGTTCCTTATTCAGACTATGATCCCAAAAGATGTAATCACTAATATACATGTAAGTAAAAAAGTGAAAATAAACCTCAAAGCATCAAAGGGGAACAGAATGTAGGAGTTTTCCACTAGTGTAGAACATGATATGTTATGAAATTTGAACCGAGCTTGCGGTATCAGGTTACATTGTGTGCTAAGACATTTTATGAAAGGTTTTTAGTCTGAGCTTAAAACATGCATCTCAACAGTTAAAGACATGCTTTTGTGTTTAGATCGCTCTTCAGTGTGTTTCTGGGTCTCTGAAACCACTGGGACACTTGTCTTATCATATATCTCCAAAAGTGGGGGATGACGGCCTTATGCACTCTGGTAAATATGAAGTTTGAATGCTTGGCTGAAAACATGTTTTGCTAACTCTCCTCCCTGTCCACCCACCCCCCCTCCTTTGAAGAACCCCAATCATGCAATGCAACCAACAATGAAGAAGAAAACGGGGAGTGAAAAAAATAAAGAAAGGACAGTGATCAAAAACCATCTTGAAATGGAGAAACCACTTGGATGTCAATTCAATTCAAACTCGTGAACTTTCTTCCAGCTATAAGTAGAAACATCTTGTTCAGTAGTTGTTTGTATTAGGCATCACACGTTATATCATTCCATACTTGTATTTATTAACATTAGATGTGTCCTTCATCCGTTGTTCCTTAGTTAAAGTTCTGGACTCACAGTCACAGCTATGTTGTCCACCTGACTCAGTAAATATAATCCGTCTAGCTATGGTCACAACTAAGTCCAGCTGTTATATAGAATTGGGAGTTTTTCCATTTAACTGCATTTAGTGTTATATTTGATTTAATTATCAATAAAATTCTTTTGCCCCTTTTGAGGTCCTTCCTGTTAAGTTGGTTTATTCACCTCGATAAGATTCAGCTAATTTCTCATAGTGCATGATTTGCTTTGACTGTTGTCTTCTATTTTTGGGTGTCTTGTAGACCATTGCTGTTGTTGCTGTTGTTCCCCATGGAGTTGTACAGCTTGGCTCTTTAGATAAAGTAAGATAACTTATAACTATTAGCACTCACTATTCCTTCGCAATAAATTGCACTAAATGCTCTCTAATTTCCTTAAAACTTTCTAGCAGGAAACAATAGGGTAAGATTACACATTCAAAGTCATAAGCAGTTGACTAGTGCCTTAATTAACCTTTTTTCTCTTTCCATTTGAGAGGTGCAGATTGTTGAAGACCTGACAACAGTCAACCATGTAAGAAATGTCTTTTTTGAGCTCCAAGGTTCATTGGCAGATCACACTCCTTATGCAATATCCAGCAGCATGGGGAGTTCCTGTCAGGTACACATTTCTCCATCCTGTCCATTTACTGCCATGAGTGTATATGAGTATGATTCATCTGATAGTGTTAATTCTTTGCCAGTCAGATATAACAACGACAACTTTGAGCTCAGGGATACATCATGATTGCTTACAGCAGCTAGATACGAGTTTTGACAAAGATGGGATAAAATCTTGGTGTTCTGGATATTCATCCAATGAAAAAGATGGTTATTATCCTTGTAACCTATTAATGCCTGGAGTCTATCAAAATAAAATGGTTGAAATGGTTAATAAACATGAAGGACCAGAAAACTCAGTACCAGAGTTTGATGTAGGTGAAGGTTTGCGAATACCAATTTCTGGAGATGCCTGTGTGGAGCAGCTGAACCTTGAAAACTTGAGAGCAACTGGTGACATCAACCATGATTTGCAAAGCAGCGGGTTTGGTGATTTGGCTCAGAGTTCAGAAAAAAGAGTTACTTTACATACCAATAACTTTTCTGGCAAAAATAGTCTATGTAATGTTGTTCCCTCTGCTGAGGATTCGGTCAAGGAGATGGCATATCTTCCTTCAGAAACCTTGGACTCCAAAGCTTGTAGTGATGAAAGAGGGATGTCTTGGTTCGACAATATTCAATATGCTGACATGCCTAAAGATTGTACAAATAGAATGGACATGCCTTTCAGGTTTTGTGGTGGCTACGAGCTTTATGAAGCATTGGGACCTGCTTTTCAGGAACAGCACTGCCATTTCGAATGGGACGCAGAAAAAATTGAATTTGGCATGTCCATCGAGATGTCAGAGGTGACGGGAAATAGCAGCCTGGTAAGTGCAAACTCTGGCACAGAGCATCTTCTGGATGCAGTGGTTGCAAATATTCAAAAGATTGAGAGCAGCAAAAATGAGAAGCCATGCGTTAAGTCTGAGCTACTTTTGAATCCTGAAAATATGTCAGAACCTTGTATGAGTGACATGGGCTCTATAAGTTCAGCAGGTTATTCTTTCAGTCGGGATGCACTAAACAGTTTCAACTCCTCGGTTGCAAGTGGTGTTCACTATTCTAAAGGCATTTCATCAACTAGCTGCAGTAGAGGTAGTGATACTTTGGAGAGGCCACAAGAATCCACTAAGATACAGAAGAAGAGGGCCAGGCCTGGTGAGAGTTGCAGACCTAGGCCAAGGGATCGACAATTGATTCAAGATCGAATCAAGGAGTTGCGAGAGCTTGTACCTAATGGATCTAAGGTAACTTTCAAGCCTCATTATTCCTATTTATTATGCTGGTCTTTTTCCATTTTATATTTGCTGAAAATTGCTGGATTGCAAAACAGTGCAGTATTGATTCACTTCTGGAGCGAACTATCAAGCACATGATTTTCATGCAAAGCATCACCAAGCATGCAGAAAAGCTTAATAAGTGCACTGGATCAAAGGTAACATGCCTTTTATGATACTTCCTGGTATCCTATTCTTTCGATTTACCTTGTGGTTGTCATCTGTGAACAAAGATACTTAGTTAGCCATGTCTTATGTGAAGAAAATACTTTCTTTTCTTTCTTTTCAAGGGCTGGCTTATTTTCTTGAAGATCTTTTCATATTTACTATGATTGTGGTTGTTTTTTGAGAAATGGGGGTAGGATGAGTAGGAAAAAAAGAAAAGTGATGCAGTGCATGTGAACTACGAACTTTTCTTGAATTTGTGCATGGAGTATTACATTAATTAGTTATCATCTGCCTAAGGACATTGACTTCTTTGAGTTCTTCCGAATTTTGGACCTGTGATGAAAAGAGAAATCATTGGTTTTCAAAATCTGGATGATGTTCTGCATGAAAGTATCGAATACTATACAGTGCTGGAATTCCATAAAACTTTTGATAATATGAGCTTCACCAATTGGTAATCATGTTATTCATCTGTCTCTAAGAAACAAAGATTCTTCCCGAATTGTAGTATGCTTTCCTAATTTCTTATGCCATTTTCCCTTGAGTGTCTCTTGATGATGTCTGGAGGCACTCTGGATGTGGGACAAAGCTGGATATTAATGACTTGATATCATTATGCTCCTATTGATAAAGTTGCAGAACTGAGGTGCACATTCTCAATCATGGGATAGGAGTCTTTGACATGTACATGATGATAAACTGTCTGAAAGATTACCTTTTTCAGAGACTTAATGGTGATTCTCTTACGTAATTACGCCTACATAGGGAATGTTACTGATGTAAAAGTTATCTTTCAACGTTAACTGTGATGGGAACGAGTTATTTCTTCAAAAATAAATAGGTCAATTTGACTTTGATAGTCAAGGCCAATAATTACAACATGTAGACCTATAGGAGAAAGTTGATATGCTTGACTCAGCAAATGTCTAATCAGTTGATAGAGAATTTTATTAGTGATTAAATTTTTGGCACGTGTTGTGTGACGTAAAATTGGATGGACGTTTGGCTGTTCGTCATTTGCAGGGTTCTTTTTTTTTTTTTGGAGAGGGGGGGGGGGGTTGGGTTCTCAATTATGTGTAATTGGATTATCTTGTTGCATTGTTGATTTTGTAGTTGATGGAAAATGAACCAAGAATTGGAAGATCATCCAGCCATGAGCAGGGTTCAAGCTGGGCAGTGGAAGTGGGAAGCAACCTCAAAGTTTGCCCAATAATCGTGGAAAATTTGAACATGAGTGGCCAAATGCTAATAGAGGTATAGATCTGGCCATTTCTATAATCCAGCTATTAGGGACAAGGAAGGTTAAGACACAGATGGGCTTCTTTTGCTGTCATATGATAATAATTTCTTGCGATTGTTGCAGATGCTCTGTGATGAATGTTGCCATTTTCTTGAGATAGGAGAAGCCATTTGTAGCATGGGACTTATAGTTCTGAAAGGTGTTACGGAAACCTACGGTGAGAAAACATGGATGCGTTTTGTTGTTGAGGTACAAAACTTTCTGGGATGAAACAAATATTCCTTGTATCTGACTTTAACAATATTAATATATATGTTGTTCTGAGACTCCATTTCTTTCCTGATTGAAGATCTGTTATTGATGCTTTCTGTAATTGCCCGTTTCTTTTGTTTTTACAATCTTGACGTTGTAGGGGCAGAACAACAGAAACCTGCATCGGATGGACATCCTTTGGTCACTTATGCAGTTATTGCAACCCAAGACAGAGATTTCAGATGGTAAACTCTAGGTGATACACCATTGCAAGGACCTGGTGGACAGATCAGTGTCAGAAATTCCGTATTTAACTATTTTCTGCTGCTCCTCACAGTAGTAGGGATGTTCTCAAACAGGAGAATAGCTTCCTGGTGATTGGATATTTGATTGTGTGGAGATGATACCTTGTTCTTTCCTTTTCATTCACGATGTTGTTAATTTGTGTGTCTAGGATGGTGTGATTCCCTGTATTGCGCTCGAATTGACCAGTTCTTGGTTTTTGATTTCCTTTGTTAGTGGCTTTGTGGAATTGGAAAAAGTACAAATCAGCGTCATGGTGAGAATCAAAAGTTTACTTGTGGTCATTGTTTCCCTTTTAATTCTGCCAAAGATAATTAAAAATTTCTCTTCAGCCTAAAATCCCGTTTAAATGGAAAAAAGCATGTACCACCGTGTAAGATTGCAAGCAAGAGGTGCCACTGAGGGTTATTTTGTCTGGCTAACGCCTATCCTAGTGGAAATTTGACAAAAAAATTGGCCGACCCTTCATTAGTCTGTATGTATTGAAACAACGAGGAGTGAAGTTTCGGACTATAAGTTTTCTGGCTGAAGGCGAAGAACTTTCGGTCGAAGTACTAGTCGGGAATCGGCGTGCAATTTTTACGATTGGTCCTATTACGATAATGTCGTTACAAAAAAGGAAGAAATGCCCAGCACTAGTAGTGTAGAAAATATATAATTACAAAATGACAGCCAATGTCATACAAATCACACTAATACTGGATGGTGATCGCTACTACTGTGGGGAAAATGGAAATTGATTTGGCCCCGTCCAACCGAATCAACTGGGACTTTTTTTTATAATCCTACTTACAAGGACGCAATTTTCTCTCTTGTTGCTTCATCTAAAATCGATCAAGCAAGTGATTCGTGTCAATTTTAGGGTCAGTTATGGAGGAGGTCCTCCATGATTTAGCCAAAGAAGTTAGAAAATTTCAAGAAACATGAGCTGGAGTTTAAAGGACTGGACTCTGGCACCGAAAACTGTTCATACACCAGCCTCAAGATCTGCCTACAGCATCACCTGCAACCCGGTCAAGAATATTATTGAATTTAAGGTCCCTGTGAATGATTGATCTCAGAGGCCTGGAATTTGGAAGACGCAAAGAGATTGTTGATGAAATCCGTGAAGCTGCGGCTCGGGGCTTCTTTCAAATGATCAATTTCCATGATGGCCCCCTCCACACTTACCTTACTTCAAGCGCTGACTCTGACAGCAGATAGCATCGGCCATTTGAGAGCAATCTATGTACGCCATAAGTGCAAGTTAAGTCGCATTATTTGATCCGTATTTGCAAACTATGTAGGCTAGTCAAGTCGCATTGTTGATCTATACTTTGTTTAAACATACAAAACAGTTCTATGAAAAAATGATCTATCAGATAGTTTAAGATCGACCACATCACATTTGGGCTCGACCCCTAATTTCTTGTCTGTAGAAAGTGCAAGCATTCATAGCCTCGTTATGTCCACACATGTAGAACAACACTGCTTCTAACTTCCCATGCATGGCTCTTGAGGTCTATGCTTCTGTGTTCTATCATCATCACGCGTTTGACTGCCACAAAATTTGAAGATTTAAATTTGCACTAAACCATCGATCAAGACTGAGATTTAAAGCCTTTTGAAGGCCTGGTTTTATCATCTGAGCAGGTCATGTTTTCATCCTGCCAACGCTCTAAATTAGCAGCTACAGAATCACTGTTTCAGATTTCGAATCCAAATTAGACTTTCTTTTGCAGATTTTAGCATTAGCAGCTTAAGCAAGAAGTTCACATGTAGTGCCTTACTGAGTCTTGTTCAATTTTAACCAAAGCATTAGTTCCTTACTCTTTCAGTTGAAAAAAAAAAAAAATCCACATTCTACGAGTACAGAGTTCATCACCACTGGCGAAATTGAGAACTGGAAGCAGGGCATGCATGCAGCACTTTCATCTAGCTTGTCAGCAATCAACATCACAGATCACTGGCTGCTAAATATTGATCAAAGCTTGAATAGTGCCAGAGTTGAAGTCCGGTGCCTTACATTTTTCTGGTATGCAGTAGTGTATTCCATGTTACTAACTTCCCTGTATAAAGGTGGGTTGGTTTCAGACAGAAGCTCCTTTATTGGTCCGTATGGCTTAAACAGATGACTGGAACTGGGGAAGAAGAAGCATGCTGTTGATACTCTTGAACCAACACACCTAGCCAATACTCTGTGCTCTGCACTCTTGAACTTGTCATTGGTAATAAGCTGTGAAAAACACAGCATTGAAAAACAAATTAGTTGGAATGCTAATAACTTGATAAAAACGAGTTTCTTCTATAAATACCTGCATCAGATCCCCAATATTTGCAAGTAGAGCTCCTGGAACTGGGAGCACATTGACCCACTGATCTTGATGAAACACTTGGAGACCACCTTTGTCATCCTGCACTACAATAGTCAAAAATGTCGTATCCGAGTGCTTTAATAGGCCTAAGGTCAGGTTTGGCTCAGGGCAGGGTGGGTAATAGAGGCAAGACAGGTGCTCGCTTTCCATACATTCAATTCTTGCCAGATGATCGCTGCTTAGTCCTAAAGCCTCTGATAACAATTCAGGTAACACATCCCTCAACTTGATCATATGCTTCATGTACTCAGAGACTTCCTTTCTGCAATGGAAGTTATATGAGAGATTCAGGATAAGGAAGCTCAAGCATGTACATATCCTGTCATTGTGCATCTTTAAAGTACGTTTGCTGACTAAAGAAATACTCTAAAAGCAAAATAGCCTGGTTAAAAAAGGATTTCTCGGCCCTGATCAGTAGACTGGAAACCTAAAATGTGCGCAGGAAAAGTGCCACACCTTCATCATTTCACTTGATTGTTTGGCATCAACTTGGTTATATGATCTCGTCAAAAAGGGAAAAAAAAAAAAAAGGTCCTAGTATAACGAGGGTTATATATTTGGTCCACACTCCACAGTAGAGTGTGACCCAGCTGAACATTTTTCTCCTGACCTGGAAAGATGAAGGTTCTATTGAACGTAAATGAACAAATAAAGATAACTGCAACAAGATATTTTACAATGCGGAGTACTAGAGCTACAAGAAGGTAGTCGACAAGAGTCTGTCTGCCAATAATAGAAGTACTGAACAAGAAATTTTAAGGAAAGCTTTTTACCTACCTGCAAACGAGGGGTAAAGCTTGAGAGTCCACAACACCATCCGGGAAATTGAAACCCAGAGCATCCCTCCAAGAGGCAACATGGTTCTCCTGAAAAGTTCCGTTGATGGTATAGAACCTGACGCTTTGGCGTCCATCTGCAGAATACAAATGCATCTTGTCCTCTTTAGGCTGCTCATGGAAGCGTCGAGTGGCTTCAAGTATCCCATCCATTACGCTGATGGGAACTCCGTGACTCGTTATTCTGAAAAAACCCCAGGTCTCTGCTGCTCTACGAATCTCGTCCACGGCCTCCTTTCTTCTAGCACCGTCAGTTTCAATCCCTTGAAGATCAACGCACGGGATCTGCAGCAGCCCATCATTAATTCCATTAACATTGTTAACAGTACTAGTTGATAGCAGACTCTGCTGGGCTGCTGCAGCCGGGGATTGAATGAAGAACTTGGGAATCCTGGTCACACCAGAATCCACCAGCCCTTTCACGCCACCTCTGCTTTCTTCAAAAGCTTTCACTTCTTGAGCCCAGTCATGTCGAAGACTATCATCATCCTCGTTAATATGATGTTCCATGTTTCTTCTGCAAGATAATACAATTGCTTCTCTTTCTCTATCTCAGGACAGGATACCAGTACTTGCCAGAATAGTATTAGTATATACAAATATGCTACACGCAGCTGCTGCGATGCTGAGGTACAGCCACCGCGCCACCATTTTATTAATTGAGACATGGCGGTCCAGAAGCAACTCTTTTCGGATCGGCCTTCATAAATTTAGAGGTTACCACTACTTTCTTTCCTTTTTCTTATTACTAATTGCCAGCTGCTACCGACTGACAAGCAACCTGCTCCTACCTACGGCCTTGATTTTTTTTTTTTTAAAAAAAATATATAATATGCCTTGCAGCCTTGGTATGTTAAGACGTACATGGATTTGCTTGGATAGTAATTTATTTGTCAAATTTTATTTATTTGCATAATTAATATATTTTTTAATTATCTTTTTTTTTACATACATTATATTAAAAAAAATAAAAAATAAAAAGACTCTCCGAAGTAGCACACCTGACCTGGTATAAGAATGGGCGATGGGCCCATTGAACAATTTCCTTTGGCCCAAGGCTATGGAACAGAGAAATCTTTTTCCATCAAGAACTAACAGTCCAAATATCTGACCCACGTAATCAACAGATATGGCCTGCGGCGAACACAGCCCAAACCATGTAATCTCGTCCCCGCTTTAGTCGGCCTCCCCTCCGTCTCTCTGTTTAGTGTACCTCCTTTCCTTCCCTGCCGCGACTACGAGTGGAGACTGGTGTACTTTTTCCTCCTCCTAAGTCCTAACACAATCTGATCTGGTGGCTGGAGTACCACTTCTTTAATAATTTAACTGCACCGTTCGCCGCATAAAATGGGGAGTTCGGTGGTCGGTGGCTTACTGCCTATACATCCCATTCCTGTTCTGTAGCTTTGCGTTTTACTATCTATCAATACCAGCATTTGCCTATGGCTAAGAATCAGACACTCAAGCGCTTCCTTACCAACATAGGCACGTGAAAATTCAGCTCTTGTTAGCTTTCACTTAACTACTTCTGTATCACCTGTTTTTAGGTTTCCAAGCTTGTTTGGGCAAATGCCCTTTATCTGTATTTATCTTTTGATGAAGGCTTCTTTTTTTGAGTGCAGATTTTAGTATCGGATTGTTAAGGAAGCGAGAGTACCAGAAATTTGTATCTAACGTTGTTAATCGATGCCAGTCACAATGGTCCAAGTCTGAAAAGGTGGAAAGGGATGATGTTTTCAAAGATTCTAAGGGCGGGCCAGAAGCACAGGTTCCTTTGAAAACTAATAATGTTAATTACCCAGATTATGAACCTCGTTTTAGCAAATACACCTCAGATGAAGATGATTTCGTTACGAATACTAATAACAAGTGGAAGCTTGAACTTGCTTGGCTCACTAAAACTCTTGAACCTGCACTTCAGCTCTGTAGATGGGCTTTGCCAACAGGTTTTATTTTTTAATTTTAATTTACTTCTTTTCTTTTCTTTTTTAACTTTTGTTCATTGATATTTCTTGTAATGTTTGATAGATGCTTTGAAAGCTACGCCATTCTGCAAAATGGCGAATTACGACTGTATTTGACTTATTCCTAGGCTGAATGATAGCTTGATTCATTTTGCTTCCAAGTGTATGTGTTACCCTGTCACAGAATTCAGCTTTCCCTGGCCTAAAGTTAGATACTGTTTGGTTGGGACTTGGGAAGTATGTGTTTTGTTGTCAGCTTTCAGTTTTGGAACCACAAATTTCAACATTATGCTCCTTTTTTTTATTTTTTTTTTCTTTTTCTGTGAGTAGATTAAAAATAGAAAAAGAACAGAAAAAAAATATTCTACCTATGGAAATGGTTTTTTACGTTAATAAAATCATCATCTTTATGGTTAAGAAGAGCTTGTTGCGGAATCTTTGAGTGCTTACCTTTTTAGACTAATTTGATACTGATATCGCAGCCTCTGGAAACGGGGATAGAGTCCCTCCTACGAATAGGTCCTTTGCAGAGATTATTGCCAGCATCCAAAGGAGTAAGATTGGACTTCAGGATTGGAGTCTCAGTGATCTTACTATAGGTTTGTATCTCATATATCTTCAGCAAGCATCAACAAATAAAGTTGAGGATGTCAAGGGCGAGCAAATCTCCTCAGAATCAATAGTAATGATCAAAAGTCTTAAACTTTTACAGTTATCTGTCGTCATAAAGTTACGCTGAGAAATAATGGATTTGAAGAGATTTTCCTTTCTTTTTGTTTCTGTTATGTTTTTCAAATTCTTATTACCTTAGTGTTCCTTATTTTAGGTTCATGATCTCATATACCACATGGAACTAGCAAAAGGAGCCTACAAGGATAACCCTAGCATTCTAGCGAAGATTAGCATGCTCAGAGAAAGCAATGTTGTAAAATTTGTGAAGAACTCTGGTGTCTTGAGGCCTGGGTATTACATAGGTGTTGATATGAAAAGGAAAAATGTAATTCTTGGCATACGTGGAACTCACACCGTGTATGACCTCATTACCGACATTATTACTTCAAGCCATGAAGAAATTACATTTGAGGGCTATTCAACACACTTTGGGACGGCTGAGGCTGCTCGATGGTTTCTTCGGCATGAGTTGGGAACCATAAGGAAGTGTCTGCAGGAACATGAGGTGCTGCATTTTCACATCTTCTATGGCACATTTGTCTTTATCTTATGTTTTATGTGCTTTTGTAACTCTACTTGGGGGACTGATTTATCTACAGGGATTTAGGTTAAGGCTTATTGGTCATTCTCTAGGGGCTGCAACAGCTTCTTTGCTGGCGATAATGCTCCGCAAACAGTCAATTAAGGAGCTTGGTTTTGATCCTCAAATTGTTTCAGCCGTTGGGTTTGCTACTCCACCTTGTGTCTCAAAGGAACTGGCTGAAAGTTGCTCCAACTATGTTACAACAGTTATGATGCAGGTTATCAACAAAATTCTGCTTTCGTGTTCACTTTTCACTAGATTTTGCACCTGGACATGCTTCTTGTTGATTTTTCTATTTGTGTCACATTTTGGTTGCTTCTAATATCCTTTTTTCCATCACAGGATGATATCATCCCAAGGTTAAGTGTCTCTTCTTTAACAAGATTGAGAAATGAAATTCTTCAAACTGATTGGTGAGAGAATAACCCATTGGGACCTCATATAACTCTTGAAGAGTCCTATATTGGCTCAGTTGTTGAAAATTCTATTCTCAAATATCTGTTTATGCGTACGTGTGCGCGCACTATTTGGTCATTTTTCTTATCTATAATATTAGTTAATGAGAAATTCTGCGCTTTTTTGTGATGTTTTGTCATTGAAATTCTTAATGTTTTCTTGACAGGGTGACTGTTTTTGAGAAGGAAGACTGGAAAAGAATAGTAGAACTTGTTACAAATGCAAAGCAGGTTGTGTCTTCTGTGCAGGATGTCGCTCGGAAGTTGGCTGATTATGCCAAGTTGAGAGGGCAGACTAAATTTTCTGGTATGTTTCTCTTGACAAGGGTGCATGAAATGCCTAGATATAAAAATTTGATCTACTACACTAAGAGGGTAGTATTGCTGCTTTTCCTGTCAAGTTTGGAGAAGTTAGAATATTGGCAGTGCGAATTCTGGTTCCAATCGTCTGTTAAAACTAATTGCAACTTCTTGACATTCCAATAATTTGCTTGTCAGGACACTTTGGATTAGATATTGAGGTAATGACGTTTCTAGCATGTAAGGGCAACCGTGACTTTGAAAATTATGATGGGTTACAGAATGCGATCCAATTTACTATCTGCAGGTATATGAAACAGGAAAACTATTGGGACACCATCTAGAATGGACTAATTTACTCTTGCAGGAAGCCCTGAATTTACTTGTGATATTTCAAAGTAATTGAAAAAGAAGACTGGACATATCAAGAATAATTTTGCTCTCACAGGAAGCCCTAAATTTACTCATGATATTTCAAAATAATTGAAAAAGGAGACTGGACATATCAAGAAGGTTGACTGATATGTACTTCTTTGCTATCCCAAATGTGGGTTTTTGTGTGTGACTGATGGTTTTCTCATCAAAGCATGTGTTCCTCATTATGGAATTCACGTAAGGGTTGTATGTTCCAGGACATGCAGAATTTGACAAATGTTTGAAATTATAATGGCTATTACTTGTGTGTGGTGTGAGATCTTGTCAAAGGGACTATTTTTGGTTACGAAGTCTTGTTGATAATTTACAAAAACTGTGCAGAAATCCCTCCCAGAAGGGAAGGGCTAATGGGGGGCCCTAGCATTTCTTCGACTTCAATTTCAGCTGATCCAGCTAAAACTCTTTCTGAGGAAGAAATATCGTGCTCAATGCCCGAGGAATTATATGTACCTGGCACCCTTTACTATTTGAAGAGGAATGTTGTCTGTCAAAGGAATGGCAAAAGTGAGGAATTTTTTACGCTGTGGAAGAGGAATCCTGGTGAACATTTGCGGAAGATACTGCTCTCAAGCAATTTAATTTCAGACCATAAATGTGATAGCCATATTTATGCCTTGAGAGATGTACTCAAAGGTTTGCCTGGGTCACATGATGACAGGCTTTTCCAATGAATAAAATTTTGGTTCGTCGGTAAAGCTGTACAGAAGTTATTTTTGGTCCGAGGGATCAATTTTGAATATTTTCAGTTTCACTCACCTGTAATGTCGAATTAGTGCAGTTTCACTTTATCGAATAAAAGTAAAATGTTTTATAGCGAAAACTTTGATCAAATCTGCAGCAGGGAAAGAGACCTTGGTCGAAGAGGGAACTTATTCTGACGCTCAAACGGGCTTAATTCTCTCTTGACCTTTTTCTAACAGAAGTTAGAAATTCGGCTTTTATAAACTTAATTCCCAGAAGAAACCTCAAAAGCCAGCTCAAACGGGCTTAATTAGGTGTTGCTTCTTTTCAATTCTCCACTCAAAAGCATAAGTTTCCCTCGAATAACCCAAAAAAATCAGGGAGCGACAGGCAGAAGACACTGAACAAGTTTGTTCCCAGTTAATTTTGAGTTTTACTTTCATAAAATATGTTGTTCCAACGCTTTGTTGTCTAGCATGAGAGTGCAATCAACTCAAGTTGAAGTCGAGTAGTTACTCAAGTTAAAAAATTTGAACTTGAACTCGAACTCGTTGAACTCTTGAAAATCGAGCTTGATTTTGTTTTGCATTACTCAACCTCGAGCTCATCGAATACAGTCAGAACTTAATTTAAGCTGAATCCGATATAATTGAACCTAATTGAGTTTAAGAAATATGAATTTATGTGTTATATAACTTTAAATAAGGGACAAAATAGGCATTTCATACTAATAGATAAAAAATTAAAAAAAACTCATATATGTGTTGGCTCATTAAGTAGCTCGAGATCGAATTCAAATTTGATCAACATGACTTCGAGCTTGAACTTTAACCGAACAATTCGGCGAGTTGCTTGATCAATCTCAACTCGTTTACAACCCTAGCTGGGCTAGTTGGGCGAGGGGCTCCTGATTAGGGCCTAAGAATGTACAGGTCCATGCCTGCGAAAAATAGAACCAAGTACCTGGGTCCATTAGTTTCTACTACTATTAAACTCGTCGGGTTTATGAATCTCAGATAAAGTAGACTGCACTTGTCCAAAAGTAGACGTCAGAAAACGGAGCAGTTGACATAAAAATGAGCACTGCTTTTCTGCATTATGAAATACTGTAGTAGTAGTACAATATTTTAGCAGTCTCAGACCGGTTGGGCTTTTCAAAACATTGCCAGCCCATATATGCATATAAAAATTAGTGCAGTCCCTTTCCGGTACAAGGTCAAACAAAAGTTCATGTGCTCCAAAAAGTGCTATTCTTTGGAAGCATTAACGCTTAATGCTCTCGTGTGTCACAGACACAATTCTCATAAACATTTACTTACCACAAGAAAAGTGAACATAGCTATAAAATCCTGCTTTTGGTGGGGCTCTACTGTTCGAGTGTGTCTCTCCTACACTTCACCCCAACTTTAAATACTACTATTTCGTTTCCGTATTGATTTATTAATTAAAAAAAATGAAGCAGCTAATATTCAAGTACTCAGCCCGCTACAAAAAGAAAATGAGTAACACTTCCCTGTTTGGATTGCATTTTTCTAAATTTTTTTTGTAGAAAAATTACTGTAGCGATTTGATATATGTGAGGTAAAAAGACATTGAAAAATATGTTCACGGAAAACGTAGCAATTTTTCTTTGCTGTCCAAAAGATTCGCACCCATCATAACGAAATTTTTGCAATATAACAAGCTAACTTCAAAGATCCACATTTTCGTATTGATATCTTTTTGTTGTCACTCTAAATCCATCGTCGATCAAGAAAAACCAACTTAACAGAAATTAAAGGCTCCCCGTCTCCTTTTGAAGTGAAACAAACCGATAGGCAGTTTGTGACAAAAATTTCTGAGGTACGCGGCAATCTGTTGGTCAAATGACGCCTAAATGTTTGAAGTTTGAAGGAGATGTCCTTCTTAAATCTTGGAGACAGTAATGGTAGACGGTAGGGTTGGATTATTCTTCATTCCAGGTAATGTGCACTCTGCTAAATAACGTGTCACTAGATTTCTCAATAACTTCCTACAGATTCCAGCCCAAGTCATTCATGAGAATAAGAACAAAAACATCCCTCTCATTGTCTTCACTAATCAAGATGACCTCTGCGTTGTGCTCTCTTCTGAGTTCTTAATCCTAGAAATTAATTCAATCCCCATTTCATGGTTTGGACTTTGAATAAGTGCCTCCTCTTCAAACTACAACGCAACCTGATGGAAAATATCAGTGGAGTGTAGATCACACACAGTGTGGACAGTGAGTAAAAGTAAACAAGAAGGGTTTAGTCTTGAAAAGGAAGCTTTCTACAATTGTCTCTCGAGCATCTAGCACTAGGTACCGGTGGCATTTCCTCGCTAGAAATTCTTTTTGTCCAAATCGAAACTGATGATTCAACTTGAAATGGGGTATTGTTCACGAGCTGCATTGTCAAATTATTTCTTTAATCTCGGTGTAACTTCGAGGAGAGAATTTACTCCGTGTTTTAAGACTTGGAATTTTTGAATGCTTAAAATATCAATTATGTATGAGATAAGTAATTAATGAGGCCCCTCCCCCCTTCCTTTCGTTTTGTTTTTAAAGGCTTTTAAATAAAATCTTAATTAGTAGTTGTAGCATTAAGTATGCCTTCTAAGAGTACTGGATGTATGGCATAATGACAACATGATTATGTGTAAATTTAGTCAAGAAAGTCTTGTACCTTAATCAAATAATGAGTAGGTTCCATCTCTCGTGTTGTTATTGTTTTTTTTTTTTTCCTTTTATTTCTAGATTGAGAGAACAAAATTTAAAGAACAGATAGAATATAGTACAATTTTAGTCTTGAAGCCTGAATGCAATTGATCTGGGCAATCATCCTTACACGTGCAATGGCCCCATGAGCAACCTCTTTGTCTGCTTGACCAGTCCATGTCCGCATCATTCTCCAACACCTTAACTTCTCCATTCAAACAAACATGACTTTGATAGCTCCTCCAAACTTGACAAAAAAATATTCTTCTTTTTTTTTTATTTATTTTTTGTGCCAAAGATATTAATTTGTATTAATGTTGTGAACTGGCTATTATTCCAAGATAGATATGGAGGAAGCAAACTCTGCTATGGTCATCTTCGATTAATTTACCTAACTGGCCGGGAGGGACACATTCCAAATGATTCATGCAGTAAATTAAACCCGTGTCTTTGTTAAGAGCACGGATTGCCTTCTTTAAAAGCGTGTTTGTAAATGAGGATATCCGAAACCTGCATATATAGTCAGCAATGACAGACAAAATATATCGCGAAGACCATTTATTTTGAGGAAAGAATTGATCAAAGATCGAATGATACAAATTTAGAAGAAACTTCAAAGGAAACCCTTCTCTTTTTTTCTTTTCTTTTCTTTTCTTTTGGGGGTTGTTGGGGGGGGGGGGGGGAGGGGTTGTGTTTGCAAAAGAGGACTTTGAAATTCATTCTTTATTATTCAACCTTCGAAGAGATAAAAAGCTAGAATTAATGCATGAAGTTTTTGAGCACATTAATTTATGTTAAACCTGCTGCCATGTATCATATCAGCTGGTAGAAAAATGTCAACTTAAAGCTCCGAGGAGCATATACAACGTTAGAAAATCACCCCAAGTTCTTAGGGGCTGGCTAATAAATCATTCAACTGCCGACTTGAATTTCACCTCAGTCACCAAAAGCTAAGCTCAAAAAAAAAAAAAAAATTGTTCTGTTTTAAATCTACAAGGCATTTATCATCTGAATGCATTTCTTTCCTAAAAAAAAGGAAGAGAAAATTCAAGAGTACAATATTTTTAAGAATAAAATAGAAAACATGAGTCATGTCTTAGCAGCGAGAAGAACCGGAAGCAGAAGAAACGTAGGAGGGAGGACGCGAATGAGCCAAACCAGTCGAGTCCAAGTCATAGACCCGTATTTCGTCGTCTTGTGGTGGCGCCGGTGGATGACGTGGATGGATGGTCCGAAGTTTGTGGGGTCTGCGCAAGAGTACGGACCCACACAATTAACATTACGACTTGAGGTCTTTTCTTTTGTCCTTCCTTTCTTATCTTTGATTGGTTAATGCATGGAAATAGAAAAATGGTTTTTCAAATTAATAGGGCCACTCGTGCGGCAAGTCAGCGTCAAATCCTTTCTCGCTTTTATACCTTAATTCCCTTTTTTTTTTCGCCCTCTCTCTTTAAAAAAAAAAAAATGTCGTTTTGCGTCCTTCAAACTTGATAAATAAATAACTGTTGAATGTTTTATTTTATGTGCAAGATTATAGTATTATAACTGGAGTGGGGCCGTCCACGGTGCAACCCCTATGGACCTTAAAGCCAGTTTCCATTTGACCTTTTGTCCTCTCCATTTTTTTTTTTTGCAATTTGCGCAAGGAAATTGTGAGAAATGGTCCTTCCTTTAAGTATTTGGATTACAAGATTTTTTAAAAAAATTTGTTTTACTTGCATCATACACATAATTTTAAATCACCTTTTTATTTTACATACATCATATCACAAAAAGTGCTACATTAATTATCTCAAATCTATCTAGATTTATATCCACATGCATTCGATTTCTTCTGAAATTTGATACTCCATAGTTAAATTTATTTCCGAATGGATTTACATTTAGCTATGTTTTTTTAGAGGGTTTAGAATTTTG